AGCGGCCGCGCTCGGGCCGGGCCGGGCCGCTGGGGCGCGGGCGGGCGGAGCCGGGTGTCGGTCGCTGTTGATGTGCACGGCGTGCGGCCCCGGGCGGGAGCATGGGGGGGTGAGGCCGCGGCACCTCCCAGGATCGCATCTGGAGGGCTCCCAGTGCTCTGCCAGCTTCGGAGGCGGGAGGAAGAGCCCCAGCAGATGAAGACCCATTCCCTCACCGGCCTGCCGTGGCCCCTGGGGGAAGGCAGTCTGCGACACGCGTGGCCGGGGCAGCTGCACCGCACCCGGGGCACGGCCCTCGCTCACCCCGCTCTGTCCCGCAGCCACCATGCCTGCCCTCAGGCCGCTCGTGAAGCCCAAGATCGTCAAGAAGAGGACCAAGAAGTTCATCCGGCACCAGTCTGACCGCTATGTCAAGATCAAGGTGAGGAGCTGCTGCAGCCTCCCAAGGACGGGAACCTTCGGGGTGCTTTGGCGTAGGCGGTGCAGGAGAGGCCAGCAGGGTGGGCAGGGAGCGGAGGCCGGGGCGGGCAGGGCTCAGGCCGGCAGGGCTCAGGCCGGCAGGGCTCAGGGTGGTTTGGTAACTGCTGTCTCTCTGGTAACTGCTGTCTCTCTGCCGTTGTGCAGCGCAACTGGCGCAAGCCCAGAGGCATCGACAACAGAGTGCGCCGGCGCTTCAAGGGGCAGATCCTGATGCCCAACATCGGCTACGGCAGCAATAAGAAGACAAAACACATGCTGCCCACGGGCTTCAGAAAGTTCCTGGTGCACAATGTGAAAGAGCTGGAAGTGCTGATGATGAGCAACAAGTGAGTGTGTGGGGCCTGTACTGCCCCAGGGAGAGTGGCATGGGCAGGGGGAAACGAGGAAAATCACTGCCCTTGGGAGCACAGATGCCATCATGATTCCCTGAGTGCCTCTGAAGGGTGGGGGCACAGAGAGGCCTTGGGGCTGGCAATCTCATCCCCTTGGCAAAAATACACACGGTGGCGAGCAAGGCTGTGCCACTTCACTGGTAGCCACAGTCAGCCCTGGTGCTCTGGGTCAGACCTGGGCACCAGTCTGCTCCAGTGCTTGTTTTTGCTACAAAGTACTAAGAACAATAATTGACGACTACCTTGACTGAGCTGTTCTCAGGAAAAGCTGAACTGTTCTGGAGGGGAGCGCCTGCTTCAGGCCAGGCAGGGAGGGGTGGGAGTCATGGTTCAGTCCTGTGCAGGGATGCCCCTGAGCTCAGCTGTGTCTGAGTACTGCTGGCAGGACAGCTCCAACACGTTCCAGGGGGCTTTGCCTCAGCTCCGGGTGCTGCTGGAGCAAGGCCAGCGCTGTGTGTCTCCAACAGGTCGTACTGTGCAGAGATTGCCCACAACGTGTCCTCCAAGAACAGGAAGGTGATCGTGGAGAGAGCCGCGCAGCTCGCCATCAAGATCACCAACCCCAACGCCAGGCTGCGCAGCGAGGAGAACGAGTAGCAGCCTCTGCAGCACAGGTGTATTTAATAAAGCCTCAGTCCAACTCGGGTGCTGTTTTGCATGGGCAGAGGAGGGGCAGCAGCCTGTGTTTGGCTCCAGGGCTCTGCTGGCAGGGGCACTCAAGGGGCAGAGTCATGGTGACCGTCAGTGAACTCAGGGTACACAGCTTCACAAGTGAACTTTATTTTCTGTATCACCCAGACAACAGATATCCTTTCACACAGCACTATAAATACTATTCACATCAACCACTCTGTCAAAAGAGAAAAGAAAACACAGAGCAGTCATGGCTAGAGCAATGTGTCATGATGGCCTCATCCTCTAGTTGGCTCTTGGAACCTTTGTCTCTTAAGGCATTTTCTCTTGCACAAAGCAGGATTTGGGCACAGCAGCCACTATGGGCTGTGTGCTTGCACCCCTGGCTCCTGCCTGCCACCTCTGAGGCCCATGACTGTGACACTGACCCCTGGCCTGCTGCTCATGTGTGACCAGGACCAGCAGACCCTTGTGGCTGGTGACACCAACACCAAGGTGCTCCAGGGGGAGAGAGAAGCCAGTGTTAGTGCAAAGCAAAGCTTTAAGCAGGGTTTGTCACTGAAACAGTCACTAATCATCCCTCAGGGAAGACAGCTGAGGTATTTTGCAGTCAAAACCATAAATATGAAAGCCAAGCAACAAAGCTTCATATTGCCCACATGCCAAACTGAAGCCCCAGGAGGAGGGTGAGGTGTCAGGTAACCTCCTGCCCTGTGCAGCCTCAGCAGCTTGGCAGGTGCAAGCCTCCTGTCCCAAAAGGCCTGTGGGATAAACTCATTAATAAAACATGGCTTCCAGTTTTTAGCCATGCTTTTTCGTTAGAAACTATAAATACATTCTTGGGCAATTTAAGGTAAAAAGTGCATGTGCAGTGATTAAAAAAACCTTTGTACTGCAGTAAGGAGTATTTGAGGAAGTAATTTCCATTGTTTGTGGAACCACAACTGTGATTGCTTTGTGCACCCCTTAAAACTTCCTGAAAAAATGGGAATATTCATCTCCCAGCCCCTCCCTTACATGAGGTTGTACTCCCTGATCTCAGGTCTCGTTCCAATTCTCTGAGGTCTCAACAGAAAGGCAGCTGGATCAAGCCAGTCACGTCCAGCTGTCACATTTAACACACCATCCCCAGTTTCTCTGTGGCTGCCCAGGGACTTGGCCGTGGCTGAGGCAGAAGAGCAGCCCAGTGGCATTTGTTCTTCCCCACCCAGCTGGTGTCTGGCTGAGGGCATCCCAAGGCAGGAGGGTGGTGGGGAAAAACACCTTAGCTCATTTGGCTGAGGCAGAAGAGGTGCCCAGTGGCATTTGTTCTTCCCCACCCCGCTGGTGTCTGGCTGAGGCATCCCAAGGCAGGAGGGTGGTGGGGAAAAACACCTTAGCTCATGTCCATTGACTCCGAGGTGGGGAGGGAAGCAGAATCTTTCTGAATGCTCTCAAAAAGTGATGCCATTTCAGGACTGGATCTGATCTGGGATGAAAACTCTGCCATTGCTGGGCTTTTCTCCACCTCAGGGATGGTCAGGAGAGCAGCCACTGCCCGCATGGCTGAGCGCTTCAGCTCGTCCTGCTTCTCAAACTCCTGCTTCACCGATCCAGCTTTCACCTGCAAATGCAAAGCCCCGTTTTCAGCTGGCATTTAGAGCAGCCCATACGGGCACAGAACCAACACAGCAGCAAAGGCCAGCTGAGGATTTTCCAGCTGGGGAAGCGGGTGGCCCAGCAGCACTGAGGGAGAAGGGCAGGAGCTGGCCCTGCAGGTCCTGCTCTTACCTTTGTGGAGCAGGTTGCCCGGAGGGGCTCGATCAGCCGCTCGAGCCGCTGCAGCACAGCGTTGGGGCAGAGCACCGAGAGCCGCGCCAGCATGATGAACGTCAGCATCTGCCCAGGGGAGGGAAACGTCGGTGCTCTGGGGCACCCAGCTCTGCTGCCAGGCTGGGCTCTACCCGCACTGAGTTCCTCTGCCCTTGGGCAAGGGGCTCTGCTAAGAGCTGGAAGCGCACCCCTGGCAGCCAGGGCTGGAGCTGCAGCTGGCCCAGGTGTCTGCACAGGGCTGACAGCCCTGGGGACACTGCACCTCGGGGCTCTGGGGATACACAGCCCGACTGCAGCCCAGGCCCACAAATGACATCAGTCAGGGCACAGCACCTACCCGAATGTCATAGTGATCTTTCAGCCCATCCTCCACGTGGTTCAGGTAGTCATAGATGTCCAGCCGGTCCAGGCAGCTTTCCAGCAGGGTGTACATGCACTCAAAAGCAGCTTTCCTCACATCCAGGCCATCGTCCACTGTGTGCTTGAATGGCCCCATCTCCACCTGAAGCAAGACAAACAGTCCAGGTGTCAGCAAAGAGCAGACAGAGCAGCAGCTCCACGGGGGCTTTGCAGGCTGCTCTGAGTCACCGTGTGGCCCCTGCTGAGCCCAGTTACCTCCCGGATGAGCTCCCGTCGCACTTTGGTTTCGTTGTACAGGCTGGGGAGGACTGTGTTCAGCAAATCCCGGATTAAGGAAGGCTTGTTGTGAGCAGCAGAATTAAACAGGGCTAAGGCCACACGGCGAACGTTCAGGTCGGGATCTTGCAGAGTTTTTAAGAAGTCACCTGTTGGATAAGAACATTTCAGTCAGTCCTGCAGCTGAGAGGCTGCAACGTTTTTGCAGTATTTTAAAGTGTATTGGGATGTATTTCAAGGAGGCTGGTTATGACAGCATTTTTGGTAAAATAACTAGTCAGAGCCATTTGAGATGCCTTCTCTCCCTCCATTTGGGATACAGTAAAGGAACATGAATATCCTGCATTTGGGCATAAAAACAAATGATGTGACTCTTGACTACCTCACCCTAAAGTCAAATCAGAAGCTTTGTTATTCAAGGAAGTTGTGGGGGATTTTTCTTGCTTAGATCCCATCTGATCAAACTTCTCTGAAACAGAAGGGCCAGTTTTATACAGCAGATCCTTTTGTGGGCTCCCTGGATAACAAAAACTCCTCATGTAGGTTATAGTTCTGAAGATCCTTTTTGTGGGGTGCTGGAATTCTGAGTTCACATGCAGAAAGAACTTAAGCACTCTAAAAAACAATGGAACATGCCCAAAAGAATGCATCAGCGCAGTTAGCAAGGACTCACAGTACAGTGTTACTGTTTAATCCCAAAAGCTGAGAAACACTGATAAAAACTGAGTGGATGAGGTTCACACAGGAATGGGAAATCCCTGAGCTGCTAACAACACCCAGCCTCTCATGCCCCCAGCTCACAGCCCTGTCCAAAGCAGCCTACCTATGCAGCCTTTCAGGAGAGCATCGATGGGCTGAGGCTGGTCTGTAATCGTGAACTTGATGGCAGTAACCACGGTGCTCCGGGCATGTGGGGAGCCTGCAGTGAAGAGGGGAAGAAAAACAGTGAAAAATCAAGGGAGAAAATCACTGCTGTAACTCTGTAGTGCATATTCTGCCCTTGGTCCTGTTACACGTGTTATAAGGGAGCAGAGGATTCTTATTAACTGTGTTTGAATCTGCTCCTGCAAAATCTCCTTCTGTAGTCCCTGTTCACAACACCCTCCTAGTCTTGTGTGGACCAGTGCTCCTCTGATCCCCCTTGCAGAGAGATCCACCTTACTACCTGCTCTCCTCTCAGCTAGCTTTGCTCCCTGTTGTACCCACAAGCAGTTTACAAAACGAATTTCCATCAAAAGGCAGCATTTCCCTGCTCTGGTCATTGCCCTACCCATTACCTGCTGACAGCTGTTTCCTCAGCCGGGGCAGCAGCTCAGCAGGGTTCACCAAAGTCAGCTTCCCCAGGCATTCTGCCACCACGTTGCGTGTCCCCTCCTCTGTGCACTCGCAGTGCTTGAAGAGCAGAGCCCAGATGTCCTCCACGTAGGGCGTGAGGCTGTCAGCTGTGGAGCAGCTGATGACTTCCTTCAGGGAGTGCAGCAGCAGGTACTGTCGCTTGGGCTGGCTGCCGATCTCCTTCAGCATGAAGGGCAGGTACTCCTTCAGACTCCCGACGCTGACGTTCCCCAGCGCGTAGGAGGCGGCGGATTTCACCTCCTCGCTGGGGGACGAGAACGCTTCCAGGATGACGGCTCTGAGCTCCCTCTGAGCGCTGAGGTTCGTGCTGCGGCCCACCTCTGCCAGGAAGAGGAAAGCCAGCACCTGAACTGCAGGGCTGGACTTGGGACTTTTCACATCCTGCACAAACTGGTTCACCGTGGCAGGGGCTTCCTTTGGGCAGGCTGAGGACAGGGCTGCCACACACTTGGCGATGGAGTGATACGCCTGTTTGTGCAGTGTCAGCGAGGCCCCGGCCGAGCCCGAGGAGTAAACGGGGGCTGTCAGCTGCTTCACCAGCTCCGCGTAACCCACGGCAGCCGTCTTTGTCAGCACCAGCGCCTGGAAGAAGTCAATGATGGCGTTCAGGGCCCCTCCTTGAAGCAAAGGTGAGTGGACAAGCTGAAAGATTTCAGCAAGGACAGAGCCACTGATCTTGGAGATACAGGACGGATAAACCTTGGCCAAAGTCGTGAGGAACATGATGGTCACCTGGGACACGTGCATGTCGTTCTCAGTAATTAAGACGGGGAGCTCTGTTAGCACAGGCTCAATCATGGCAGGCTTGAGGCTGTCACTGTAGTTCTTCACCAGGATGTCCAGAGCATTCAGAGTGCTCAGTTTCAAGGCACGTTGATTCTTCCTCAAGAAGGAAGCTAGAATGGGGAGACCTTCCCCTAGGATGGGTCTCAAATCTATTTTAAGTGGAGAACTAGCAATTAAGGTTAATGCTTTGACTGTTGTCAGTCTGGTGATTTCATTTTTGAGCCTCTCCAGAAATATCTTCAAGGTTGGCTGGAGGTCAGTGCTTAAATGGTCTCCCAAGCTGTAAATGATTTGTCCCATGCAGGAGATGGCACGTTCCTTCACCTCCTGGTCGATGTCAGCTGCCTTCAGCCGCTTCAGAGTACCAGGGAAAAGGTCCTTCACATAGGGCTTGGCATCAAAGGTGCAAGGTTTGTCCAAAG